TTACCAAAATCAAAACTTTTAAACAATAGGTTCATCATTAGCAATAACATATAACACCAAGCCGGGTTCAAGGTTTTATCAATTTCTAATTCACATAACTTATCAATGAAATATAATTACAATCTTTCCAAAACTCATTCTCATCCCAAACATTAAATAGAATTAAATTTCCATTTTTTTCATGCAGGTGAAATATTGGAATCTTCAAGTCTAATCGTAATTCTCAGTAAGCATAAGTGAATATTCCAACACTTAATCAATTATATCAAAATCTTCTTTTGACTATAATTATAAAATATAATACGAGTGTTCACTTTCCAATTATCAACATTAACCCCCATCAAATTAAACCAAGGGAAAATAAATAAATAAATAAAAGTCTCGATAACTCATTTCTGTTTTAATCCAATTCATTCATTTGCTCCGAACGTGTAACGCCCTCAAAAATAAACCCATCATAGCATATATTCACGATAAATAAAAGAGTTTTCATATTATAATCATCAGAGTATTCTTACAAAAGGTATTACATATTGACAATAAAAGTAAACGCCCTATAGGCTTACAACTTTCCAAGTCAACACTAGGTTACAAATGAGAGTACTAACTCTACACAAATAAGCCCTTGGCTTGATATACATGTAATACAACAAAAACAACAAAAAAGAGTCTACAGCCTCAAGTCTCCCAAGCTACGTCCTTGAAGATGGCATAATACCTGTACCTGAAAATGATGTCCCATATAGGGTGAGCCAACGCCCAATAGAGATATGCTAAACATAATATGAGCAATAACTAAAACATTAGCACTTGATAAATGTTTAACTTAACAAAACTCAACTTATAAACATGGCTTAGAACCTGGCCAAATAATTGAAGTGAGACTACATCTCATGCCAACAATACTACAAACTGCCATTTTACGGAAATTGCGTCCGCGGGATCCGGCACCATGTATTTTCATTCTCTTATGGCCATTTTACGGATATTTCATCCGCGGGACTCGGCACCTATGTATAGATATATTCGGATTGCCATTTTACGGAAATTGCATCCGCGGGATTCGGCACCCATGTATAATTATATTCAAATGGCCATTTTACGAAAATTTCATCCGCGTGATTCGACACCCATGTATTCAAATACACAACTTGATTAGTTTCAATTCACCTAATCATCATGCAATGTCTACAACAATCAAGACTATCCTCTACCGATAACCCAAAGCAGTTATTTTTAAACAGATAATAAATGCCTCAACAGATATATAATTGACATTTTCAAAAGTGAGCGATTTATAAATCCAACTCCACCATTCTATCTCATAATGAGCAAATTTCATTATCCCCAACTCAATTTCATAACCAATGCCATTAATTACACTAACGACCCAAATATACCCAAATATGACATTTTTCCCTTTAAGCTCAATATTGACCCAAAGGTCCAAATATTATTAACAACACCAATATTCTCATCTCTAGGCTCAAATATACATGTATAGGCTCAAATATACAAAACCCCTCTTTTATACATTTTGAAACCCTAACACCCAAAATCACCCAAACCCAACATTACAGCAAAATGACCAATAGTTTATATCAAAGACCATAGAAATGAGTAGTTATCCTTACCTCAAATTGAAGAGCTCAAATGGAGGCGATGACCAAAATCCAAAGTGCTCCAAATCCAAGATTTTTCATATTAAAAGGAAGCCCTCAACACTCTCTATCTTTCTTACAAAGAGCCTAGGTTAGAAACTCACTAGAAGTAGATTAATCCCTAGAGAGAAGTTGTTTAGAGGGGGAGAGAGCTCAGATCTAGGGTTTTTGAAAAAGAGAGAGATGAAAAAAGTGAAGTGTAATCCCGCTGCTGTCTACTGATATACGTATGACCCGCTCGAGTGGAGAATAGGACGCTTGAGCGTAAGACACAAAAACTGGACACGCTCGAGCGCAAAGATGCCCGCTCGAGCGCCAAGACACAACTGCAAAACACACCCGCTCGAGCGCAAAGGGAAAGCCGCTCGAGCGTAGATTTCCCTCTTCCAGTACTTTTACAAACAATGAACTACCCGCTCGAGTGCCAAGATACCCGCTCGAGCGTAAGGAAAACCACTCGAGCGTGAAAAACACACCTGCAGAAGTTTTGCAGAGGCACAAAATACTGAGAGTGTGTAAACCCCGCTCGAGCGCAAGAAGACCCGCTCAAGCGGACAACAAAAAATCAAACTCCACTCGAGCGCAAAGAGACCCGCTCGAGCGTACCACCAAAAATCTGGGCAACAAGAAATGGGACTAAAGCTCAACCAACCTGTTCGAAACACGCCCAATGCATCCTAAAACTCAAGCACATGGAAATAAAGGATAACAACAAGATATACAACCACCAACTCCACGGAACCTAAGTCCGGAATACAATAATCAAAGGAAGAGAAACCGAGATGGCTATAACCTCCCCCCCTTAAAGAATTTCGACCCCGAAATTAAGTACAAGTTTTTCAAAAACATGTTTTTCTCAATTACCAACATTATTACAATGTAAAATTCAACAACTTGATCCATTACTGGTCATTCCATCTCTATTCAAGAGGCAAACTTCCAACATAATCTCCAATATGCATTATCAACATGCATCACGAAACAAATTCAATGCCAAAATTATATTTGCATTTCTAAAACAGAGTTAACATATGCAATGTTAAAATAAACATCCATTACAAGGCAAGTTTCACAATATTCCCATAAACCAAAACATTCACAATGTTTTACAACTTAAGACATATTTAATGCTCTTAAAGTTCATCAATATTACCAAATCCCAATACATGGTTAAACATTTACAAACAAGTCCGGATATTTCTCACGGACGTCCACCTCACGTTCCTAAGTAGCTTCCTCCACTCCGTGATGTTTCCACAAAACCTTTACCAAGGGAATGGTCTTGCCTCGCAAGACTTGATCCCGTCTATCCAAGACCCGTACCGGTCTCTCCTCATACGAGGCATCCTCATCTACCTCTAAGTCGGTCCAATCCAACACGTGCGATGGATCTAGCTCGTACTTCCGAAGCATACTAACACGAAACACGTCATGCACTCCGGACAACTGCGGCGGCAAAGATAAACGGTAAGCAACCTCCCCAATCCTCTCAAAGATCTCAAAGGGACCGATAAATTGAGGGGACAACTTCCCACTCTTCCCAAACCTCAACAAACCCCGCTTAGGTGATATTTTCAAGAAAACGTGATCACCCGTCTCAAATGCCAAAGGCCTCCTCCTACGGTCGGCATAACTCTTTTGGCGACTCTGGGCTATAATAAGCCTCTTACGGATAAGCTCAACTTTCTCCGTCGTTTCTCTCACCAACTCTGGGCCCAACAAAGTTGTATCACCCACCTCGGCCCAACAAACCGAAGACCTATACGGTCGGCCATACAAGGCCTCAAACGGCGTCATACCGATACTAGACTGAAAGCTGTTGTTATTGTAGGCAAACTCCACCAAGGGCAAGTGCCTCTCCCACGTCCCACTAAAGTCAAGGACACAACCTCGAAGCATATCCTCAAGGATCTGAATAGTACGCTCGGACTGCTACTGGGCTGTGGCTCACCCTATATGGGAACATCATTTTCAGGTACAGGTAGCATGCCACCTCCAAGGACAAACCATGATCAGATGATAATGACCCAAATAACATAATGACTTTTCTGGTATATATGACCAATTCAAAACTGGGGTCCAAATTACCTGATTGCATTGCTATTTTCTGTCATGATTGAGTAAATCAAACCATCGCATCCTGTCAGTATACTTCTGGTATAATGAATCTAAATCTGCCTCCCTGCTCTGATCATCAATCGATTCTCGTCCCATGATGGCTGAACCAGAGATGCACACCAATGGCAAAGACACATCCATTTCCACGTGTATAAGTTTTTTTTTTTTTTTTTTTTCAAACTAATCTTAGGAGGAATGATTAACGTTTAGTTTGCAAAGAACATCACCAAACAGGCAAGCCTTGAGTTTTTCACTGGTCTTTAATTTCATTGTTTACATCTTTTTTACCTTTTGTTCCTGTTACCAGAGATGATGCTAGGCTATCTTAAATCCATGCACCTTTCAAATCAACCATTCAAGTATTAAATTTGAGGAATTTGCAAGATTCTACATTGAACACTAATCACTTTTTTTACTCGGAATTATGAAAAGGACATTTTGACAGAATATGATTTGCAAGATTCTAATTTTTCCAACTACCCACTTTTTTTTCCTAGTTTGCTTCCACAATTTCATCAAAAAAACCACTTTCCTAGCTCTTTCCTGACTTTTTTAGCACAACCTATGCATGTGTTGTTGATTTAGGATTCCAAAGTGATACAAAAACGTGTTCGGATTCTTGTTTGTATAGCAATATGTGATAATAGTTGCTCCTTTTTGACATAGCTTTCAATTTCTTATTTTAAATATAGGGTCCTACTAAGAACCACCTAATGAACTTACGTTAAGAATTAAATAATGTTAAACTCATATATTCCTATACATTTTACATATTTTAACACAATTTTTATACATATCAACATTAACCACCGCTCATTGGGCAGTGGTTAGCATATTCCTTAAATATATTCTCATGGCAGGGAAAATTAAGGAGGAATAAAGATGTCATACGTTCACCAAATTCAAGGTCCTAAACTACATGCAAAATATTACTTAATTTCAGATAATAAGGGCAAATTGTGAATAGGATGGTTCCACAAATTAAAGAGGATTGCTAAGACTGTGGGTAGAGAATTAAACAGAAAAAATGCACCATTCAGACGTTCAAATTGATTTGTTAAACCACAAAAATCATTTAGACATTTGCACAAACATTACTTGGACCAAAACCTGCACATGCAGTTCACTATAGATTTTTTAATACCTCTACCAACACTTTCATTTTCCAGCATAATATGAAAATAAAAAATAGAGACAAGAACTCAATATAGTCATATTTACCTTATTTCCAGAGCACTCAGCATCCAAGGAGTGTGCATGCGCAACACTTTTATGCAGCAATTGATGATACGCTGGGCGTTGATGCAAGCTTGGATGGAACAATACATATATAAACAAGAGTATTGTACAAGAAACATACTAAGAATAAACAAAAATAATGAGTAATGTTATACAAACAGTTTTTGTATAAAATTCTCATACGTAATAACCATGTATGTGACCTTCTGTGATATTTTCATTTCAAACCAAAAACCCGCTAGCATTCAGATATGTTTTCTGCATAAAAATTCTGTTTGTAGATATTATCCAAAATTTATACAAAATGATGTGGCATGTTGTGTGTCCAGCTGAATGAGGAAATATAATCGGATAGATGCTGAATGCCCTATCAAAGAGCAGGGACAAAATTTAATTGCAAAATCAACTGCGCATCCTGTCAGTATACTTCTGGGATAATGAATCTAAATCTGCCTCCCTGCTCTGATCATCAATCGATTCTCGTCCCATGATGGCTGAATCAGAGATGCACACCGATGGCAAAGACACATCCATTTCCACGTGTATAAGTTTTTTTTTTTTTTTTTCAAACTAATCTTAGGAGGAATGATTAACGTTTAGTTTGCAAAGAACATCACCAAACAGGCAAGCCTTGAGTTTTTCACTGATCTTTAATTTCATTGTTTACATCTTTTTTACCTTTTGTTCCTGTTACCAGAGATGATGCTAGGCTATCTTAAATCCATGCACCTTTCAAATCAACTATTCAAGTATTAAATTTGAGGAATTTGCAAGATTCTACATTGAACACTAATCACTTTTTTTACTCGGAATTATGAAAAGGACATTTTGACAGAATATGATTTGCAAGATTCTAATTTTTCCAACTACCCACTTTTTTTTCCTAGTTTGCTTCCACAATTTCATCAAAAAAACCACTTTCCTAGCTCTTTCCTGACTTTTTTAGCACAACCTATGCATGTGTTGTTGATTTAGGATTCCAAAGTGATACAAAAACGTGTTTGGATTCAAGTTTGTATAGCGATATGTGATAATAGTTGCTCCTTTTTGACATAGCTTTCAATTTCTTATTTTAAATATAGGGTCCTACTAAGAACCACCTAATGAACTTACGTTAAGAATTAAATAATGTTAAACTCATATATTCCTATACATTTTACATATTTTAACACAATTTTTACACATATCAACATTAACCACCGCTCATTGGGCAGTGGTTAGCATATTCCTTAAATATATTCTCATGGCAGGGAAAATTAAGGAGGAATAAAGATGTCATACGTTCACCAAATTCAAGGTCCTAAACTACATGCAAAATATTACTTAATTTCAGATAATAAGGGCAAATTGTGAATAGGATGGTTCCACAAATTAAAGAGGATTGCTAAGACTGTGGGTAGAGAATTAAACAGAAAAAATGCACCATTCAGACGTTCAAATTGATTTGTTAAACCACAAAAATCATTTAGACATTTGCACAAACATTACTTGGACCAAAACCTGCACATGCAGTTTACTATAGATTTTTCAATACCTCTACCAACACTTACAATTTTCCAGCACATTATGAAAATAAAAAATAGAGACAAGAACTCAGTATAGTCATATTTACCTTATTTCTAGAGCACTCAGCAACCAAGGAGTGTGCATGCGCAACACTTTTGTGCAGCAATTGATGATACGCTTGGCGTTGATGCAAGCTTGGATGGAACAATACATATATAAACAAGAGTATTGTACAAGAAACATACTAAGAATAAACAAAAATAATGAGTAATGTTATACAAACAGTTTTTGTATAAAATTCTCATACGTAATAACCATGTATGTGACCTTCTGTGATATTTTCATTTCAAACCAAAACACCCGCCAGCATTCAGATATGTTTTCTACATAAAAATTCTGTTTGTAGATATTATCCAAAATTTATACAAAATGATGTGGCATGTTGTGAGCCTATCACTTAAAAAAAATAAAAAAAAAAAAAAAATCTAGATGCCTTTTAATTACAAAAATGTCTCTAACACATAATTCTGGTGGAAGATCATGTATAAAACTTCTAGAAAATAGTGTTTTACATAAAACAAATTCTCATAATATTGAGAGGGGCACTGAAGTCTATGATGAGAACTTTTTGCGACATTTTTTTTCATTCTCACATTCATGGTTAGATATAGTGAGCAAAAATAAACTTTTCTCATCTCTCTACATCAAATTGATACATCAAAAACACAGTTGGTGCGCACCTTCCAGATTTGATTATTGACCTTTAATTTGCAAGCATCATAGAGACTGCAAAGTGCAAACTAAATGTTTTTGCTCCAAACTTGCATCTTTTACCAAGTTGAAGTTTCCCTCCTATCATATCATTCACAATACCGGAACCATCAGAGAAAGCAAATGAATTTCCATTCTTAAAATTAGAGTGCTCTAAACAATTTTGTACAGAAATGTAACTTTGAAGTTGAAAGTTCCATGTGCAATAGAAAATATGAACAAATTACAAAGACAACCCATGGTTAAAAATGTTTTGATCCAAATTCTCGTGATCCCCATGATCTCTCTCTCTCTCTCTTTCTCTCTCTCTCTCTCATGTCTTTATAATTAGCAGGTACTACCCACTCATGCGTCACTTTATGTTCTTAATTAAACATATTTGCACAGTCTAAATCTATATATAAATAACTGGCAACTGACTTGCATATATAGAAAATGAAATTTAATTATAATTTGAGCTTACATTTTCATTTTTTGTTTTCTCATTGATACATACATATGCTAATTTTCTATTTAGTTTCGTCTCATCTCACATATATTTGTGTTGTACTTGAAAGTATAAATTAAGGGCTTTTGTCACTTTCTTAATGTTTTGGTAATTTATGTGCTTTTTTCATTTTTATGCCAAACTTCACGACATCGCATATGAATATGGTTGTCCTACTACAGTTCCATCTGCACTGTATACGTCGTAATAATTAATGAAGTGATGATTTGTGGTTAACTTGACATTGTTGACTTATCTTTGATTCTAAAGGTTAAGATAGAAGCGACGTGTTTATGGAGCAAATGTAGAATAACACTCTTCAAAGTCAACATTTTACAAGAAAGCTTAATTTAGTTAGTTTGCAGAGAAATTAGTTCATGATGTTTCTTATCTTTTCCTTTCTGGAACTAATAACTTGAAATTTTCTCTTTACTTCTCTGGTGATAGGCTAAAAAGGGAATTTTTTTAGCTCATTTCAATGACTCCAAACTTGACATCCCATATGGTTTCACATGAAATGCTTAATTTGAAGCCACATTTGAAATACATTACGATATGATACAAATTCTTTATTTATTTTATTTTTATTTTTCACTTCATGTATGTTTTCTGGACTACTTATAGAAATCATGGAATGATATAAATATTACCCTAGTTTTAGACAGAAGAGCATCATCCATCAGTTTTACACTTCCAATCAAACCTGAATTTCTTCGTCTTCTGTGCTTCATGAAGAATTTTACCAAGGCAGTGAACATTACTGGTTTCCAGCACTTAAGGTCAACTGTGTGGCTGTGGAAGCTCGACAACAAATTTAAGAAAATGCGAGTAAAGCCAGTTCTGGGAACAACATTAACACAAATGTTCATAACTAAGCCTCAATTACTTATGTGCATATACATATATGTTGGATTGAAATGTGTGTGTGTTTGTGTGTGTGTGTGTGAGAGAGAGAGAGAGAGGTTTACCTCAGTCGGCGTTGCCAGGTTTTCGTTTTGGGGCAAAACCGTAATAGCTCAATCGGAGGGACGGGTTGAATCGGCAAAGGTATCTGAGACGCCACACCACCGCTGCCGCTGCTAGCTATCGTCACTCGATGCTCACCGTCGTCGCTCGCTGCTCGCCATCGTCCCCCCTTGCTCTGCTGCCGCTGCCGCTGCTTGCAGACGTGAGAGTGAGAGTGAGAGTGAGAGTGAGAGAGAGGGAGAGAGAGATGAAATTGGGGATTTTTTTTGTTTAAGGGAGTTTTTTGAGTTGGTGAGAAACAAAAGAAGGGGGGGAATTTAGATAGAAAGAGGGGGAAACGAAAAGAAAAGAAGAAAAGAAGAAAAGAAGAGGAGAGGCGGTGTGACGTGGTTTTATTATTATTATTTATTTTTTTATTTTTTATTTTTTTTTGTAGTTAATGATTTTTTTTTGATTTTTCAATTTTTTTTAGGTTACAAGGTTGAAAATTTATTTGTTTCATTTTTATTTTATTAAAAAAAATTTATTATTTTTTTTTATTTGGTAGAAGTAGGGGTAACATTTTAATTAAAAATATTTTCTATTAAAATAAAGTTAATTTTTTGTGAGGAGAGGTGTGACGTGGTTTTATTAATTTTATTTTATTTTTTTTTTGTAGTTAATGATTTTTTTTAAAAAAAATTCATTTTTTTTATTTTTGATTTTTTTTTTTAGTTACTAAGATTGAAAATTTATTTGTTTCATTTTTATTTTAATGAAAAAAATTATTATTATTTTTATTTAGTAGAAATTGGGGAAATATTTTAATGAAAAATATTTTCTATTAAAATAAAGTTAATTTTTTGTAGTCAATTAAAAACATTTTCTCGCAGCCCATTTTTTTTGGTTACCAAGCATTAGGAACTAATTTTCTATGGTGGAAGAGAGGGAGCGACAACAGTAATGAAGGTGGTAGATAAGAGGTAATGGTGGTGGTGGTGGTGGTGATGGTGAAGGAAATTAGTGGTGAAGTTGTGGTAGTGGTAGAGGAGATGGAGTGGCGGTGGTGGAGGAGAGGTAATGGTAGTAGTAGTAGTGGCAATAGTAGTGGTGGTGGTAGTGGAGCGGTGGCGATGGTGGTAATAATGGTAGTTATAGAGGTGGAGTGGCAACAGTGGTGGTAGTGGAATGACATTTACAGTAGTGGTGAAGGTGGTAGAGGAGATGGGCGGTGAGAGAGAGAGATGAGTGAAAGACAGATCGATGTGCTAGAGGTTATAGTAGTTTTGGCGAAGCTGCATCTTGTCCAGATGCTCTTGCGACGCCATTGACATCTTCGAAGAGCTCGAAAACCAGGAAACTCTAGCTGATGATGAAGATGAAGAAGATGAAGGCCTTGTTTGGTTTGTGTTTCCCAAAAATTTTTGGGAAAAATTCTCTATAAAAAAGTTTTCAAAAGTAATCAAACCAAACAAATTTTCTCAAAATTTTTTTCCAAAACTTGTTTGGTTTACAAGTTTTCTAAACAAATCTCTCTCTCATACACATCAAATCAATCACTTTTTTCAAAACTCTTTCTCAAAATAATTTTTCAAAACATCTTTTGAAAAAAACCAAACCAAACAACTTTTCGTACTTTTTATCTCTAAAACTCATCTTTCAAACTCAAACCAAACATACCCGAAGATTTTCAAAAACACTTTTGAAAAACATCCAAAGCACTTGGCCCATTCCTACAACTTTGGGTAATCTAAGTTGGTTCATGTTTTCTAAGCTATTTTTTGGACCAACTAGGCATCTGAGAGATTTGTGTGAAGTAGCAATTGAGCGCGACTCCGACAATGCAAGCGCATTTGGTTGATTTCATGGCAATTTGGGGCTCGAGAGGGGGTGAGAGGACTTTAATTGAGGGTCGAGATTGAGCGGTTAGGTTAGGGTTTAGCTTGTTTCGAGGGGTGTGGTAGAGAGAAGCTTGAGAGAGATCAGGAATCGAGACGATGACTCAAATTTGATTCAGATCTCGACGATCTTTCGGATCTAGCGGAGGCACCTGTGGAGGAGAAGGAGGATGAGCCCAGCTGGTACAGTGGGTGTTTAGGAGAGAGAGAGAGGCACCAACAGTGAGGTGGTAGTCGTAGAGGTGAAGTGGCGACAGTGGTAGTAATGGTGGTAGTAGAATGGCGTTTGCAGTAGTGGTGAAGGTGGTAAAGGAGATAGGTGGTGAAAGAGAGAGAGAGATGAGTGAGAGACAGATAGAGAAGAGAAAGAGAGAGAGAGAGACAAAGACAGAGTGATGAATGAGAGAAAGACAAAGTGATCGCTAAAAGTGCATTTTCTTGTAGTGGATAGATAAATCGAGAGGGGGCTCAGTAAATAGAGAAGACGGAATGGAAAGAGTAAGCAACGCCAACATAGTGGGAGAGAGAGAGAGAGAGAGAGAGGGACAAAAAGATAAAGAGATAGAGAGTGAGAGACAGAAAAAGAGACAAAGAGAGAAGAGAGATGAACGAGAGAGACAGAAAGAAAGATAGAGAGAAGAGAGATGAGCGAGAGAGACATAGAGAGAAGAGGGATAAACGAGAGAGAGATAGAGAGAAGAGAGATGAGCAAGAGAGACATAGAGAGAAGAGGGATAAACGAGAGAGAGATAGAGAGAAGAGAGATGAGCGAGAGAGACAGAGAGAGATGAGAGAGATAGAAAGGAGAGAGATGAGCGATGAGACAGGGAGAGAAAAGAGATGAGAGAAGAGATAGATGAGTGAGAGACACAGAGAGAGAGAGAGACAGATAGACAAAAAGAAAAGAGTGATGAGTAAGAGAGAGAAAGAGAAGAGAGAGAGAGGAAGATGAAAAAACGGGTGAAAAGATATAGACAAAGAGAAGAGAGAAAAAAAGAGCGAAAAGAGATAAACGAAAGAGAGACAGAGAGAGATGAGCGAGAGAGATAAAGAGAAGAGAGATAGAGAAGAGAGATGAGAGAAATAGACAAAAGAGAGATGGACGAGAGACACAAAGAGAAAAATAGAGAGAGAGATAGATAAACAGACAGCAGAGAAGGTGATGAGTGAGAAGAGAGAAAATAAGAGAGACAAAGACACAGAGAGAAAGAGACAGACAGAGAAGAGTTGATGAGAGAGAGGAACAGAGAGACAGAGAAAGAAGAGATATAGAGACAGAGAGATAGGAAGATGAAAAAATAGGTGAAAAAGTTCCGTGTCTAAAGTCTCCTTTTTCTAGTAGTAAAGTTGTCTCTATCATTCATGGGGTAAGAAATAGAGGCGCGGATTGGGAATTGTATATTTTATATAAAAAATCAATGAAATATTTTATACAAATCACACCTATTTAGGGAGTGTGAATTAAATATATATATATATATTATATATAATTACACTTATTAAAAAGTGTGATGAAAAAGTAGTAATGTATGATAAATCACACTTTAATTAAATGTGTGATAAAAAATATATATATAATCACACTTTAATTAGAATGTGTGATTAAAATATAGAAAATAATCACACTTTAATTTAGAATGCGTGGGCTAAAAAATATATAATATAATCAACCTATATTAAAAAGTATTGATTAAAAGTAGTAGTGGTATATATAATCACACTTAATTAGAAGGTGTGATTAAAAATATATAAATAATCACACTTTTTTAAAATTTGAATGTGTGATTAAAAAATATATATAATATCACACTTGTTTAAAATTGTGATTAAAAAGTAGTAGTTGTATATATAATCACACTTTAATGAAGGTGTGATAAAAAAATAATATATATAATCCAGCACTAATTGAAAAAGTGACATAAAAAATAAATATATCACACTCAATCAAATTAAAGTGTGATTAAAATATCAATCTAATTTTTTTATCAACACTTCAATAAAAAATGAGATCTTTTTGGTTGTCAAAGTTTTATCTTTAAACTATTTTTATAGTAGTGAGAACAGAGAGACAGAGATTGAACTTATTGTGGGTCTATGTACATATTGATAGAAAATAAATTGGCGGTAATGTAAGATGTATTCCCACCAAAACATGAATCTGTGTTTTTGAAAATTGCTTTAACTTTATTTCGACAAAATGTTTTTGGTCCCTAAAATAAGTATTTTGCGCCACCACATTCTTTGGTCGCAAAGATCAAAAGAAAAAATTTTCATTAATATTTGGCGACGAAATATTAGTCGCAGAAAAAGTTACCTTCGTCGACGAAATCTTTTAGTCCCAGAATTCTCAATCAACGGCGACTAAATATTTGTCACTAAATTGTATTAATTTGGCGAGAAATTTTTATTGGCGCTGAAAATAAGTTTTTGAGCGACCAAATTTTTGGTCGGCCAAAGAAAAAAAATAATTTTTGGCGACCAAAAGACCATAGTAGTCGCAAAAAAAATACCTTCGCCGGACAAATATTTTTAGTCGCCAAATCTCAATCAACGGCGACTAAAATATTAGTCGCTAAAAGTACTAATTTGGCGACTAATTTTTTTTGGTTGCTGAAAATAAGTTTTTGGCGACCAAATTTTTGGTCGCCAAAAAAAATGTGACCTTCCGCGACCAAATTTGTAGTTGGTCGGCAAAAGCATACCACTTTCTGCGACCAACTCATTTTTTGGCCGCCAAAATATAACCTTCTGCGACCAATAATATTTGGTCGCCAAAAATAATGATCATTCGCGACTAATTAATATTTGGTCGCCAAATGTCATTTTTTTGCGACCAAAATTTTTTTGGTCGGCAAAAGTGGTCGGCAATTGTGTAAATTCTTGTAGTGATTTGTGATTATTTGAAATTCACCTAAGGGTGGTTTGTGAGACTATTCGTGTCTCGTTTGTAATCGTTTGGAAATTATTTGGTTGATAGTAGAATCGGATTGAGGGAACCACGTAAAAATTCTTGTGTTGCCTTTGATTTAATTTTTTCACATTAGTTTTTATTCTCATTAATTGATTTACTTATGAAGAATCACATCGATTTTCCCTAACAGGAGAGACTGATGCCATACAGCTTTAAAGACTCGTTTCTGATGTGCTTTGACTGACTGGGAAGGTTTATGAGCATTATACCTGATATCGAAGATGTGAATTACATCTGATCAAAAAAAAAAAGATGTGAATTACAGGGTCTACCGAACCAGATGTAATGTATAATCCATCAGGAGACCATGCTTGATTGATCAGAGCGGACTGTGATTCGCTACTTTCTTGCTTCCAACCAAATGCGTGGATTTCCGTCTGCCTCAATCTTATGTCAAACAATCGAAGCTGCCTCTCCGGGGTCCTGCAGAAGGTGTTTTTGCTAGAACTTAAAAGCAAGAAAATGAGAGTAAAAAATATATATACTAGAATAATGATACTAACATTTCTGAAATAATAAAAACTGTAAATGAACAGCATAACAAAATCATTTGGAAAGCGTTTTTACCTATTGAAGTAAAGTTTTTTATGTGGTTTTTGGCTCATGGAAGCATTATGACTGACCCACAATAATTTTCAAATGAGGATACCTAATCACTGTCTTTGTCTTCGATGATACATAATGTGTAGGAGGAATGAGGAATTCAGTGAATCATTTATTTCTGCATTATCCCATGGCTTTGGATTTATGGCATCGTCTTTTTTGTCCAAGTGGTTCACTGTGGGTGGCTCCGGGTGCCTGTGCACATAAGCTCTTAACTGATTTTTAGGGGTTTAGGTGGCAACAAGAAAGTCTAAACCTTCTGGCGTTGGGTTGTTTTTGCTATCTTTGAGACTATTTAGGTCAAGTTTGGCAAGTTGAAAAAAAATTAAAAAGTTACTCAAAAAGTTAAAAAGTTATCACTATTTACCAAATGTCAAAAATTACGATTGCACAACTCCCAATCTTAATTTTCCCCAATATATTAATTTATACAATTTTTTAATAAACATTTTTTCATAAAAAATCAAAAAGTTAACACAAAAAACTATATTTTTTTCCTCAACTTTTTAGTTTAAAAAGTAAAAAAATACATTTATTTAAAATATCCCAAACAACACCTGACTTAGAAAGAAGATTGATTTTTTTATTTGGCCTTAGAGTCAGAGCCGGATTCGTTATTGGATAAAGCATGTAATTTGGCTTCATTTCGGCCTATGTTCCTCCTCCATTTAAAGGGGCATTCTTTTTTTGATTTCTAAGAATTGAGGAGCAATATGTCAGTCTTAGTTTTCTTCCATTGACCTGTTTGATTGTGGTCTGGTATCCTTTCGCGCTGTAAGAGGACTCATTGTCCTCATTTTTCCTTTTCATGATTACTAAATCATTTTTGTCGCTGATCCCAAAAAAAAAAAACAAAACAGAAAAGAAAAGAAAAGAAAAGAAAAGAGAAGAGGCATTGACAATAGATGGAGGGAAACTCTATCCGTACACAAAATTCATATAAAAAAACTTTACAAGAATGATGTGATAATATCATTCTTGTTATTGTCATTGGTGTTTTGCTTTTAAATAGAATATTCATATTGAGCCACATTATTCTATATGAAAATTATGTTTGAATATTTTTTTTTTGGAATATCATTACTCTAGATGGAGACATTATCTTAGAAGAATTTGTAATGGTTAATGAAACATAAAACGAATATAATATCGCAAGAAAATTTTGGTTGTAAATATCCAATGTTACTTACCCAGTTTGAACCATGAATAGATTGAAGTCACACGGATTAGGTAAAACACTCATGCATTTGATATCGATTTGATGTTTATAGTTTGCTCTTCCTGTTGCTAAGGCCTCGTTTGGCAACAGGTCGGTTTAGTCAAAAAGTCAAAAAATTATTAAAAAAATTAAAAAGTCAACAACTCATATAAAAAAGTTAAAAATTCTCTTTTCTTTTTACTTTTTGCACATCTTTTTGTAAAAAGTTAAAAAATCATCCCAAACATACAAGTTTTTTTTAACTCATATTTTAGTCAAACAGTCAAAAAAATTACTAAATTAACATGTTCCCAAGCGAGGCCTAATCAAACCCAATAATTCTCGTCTACACCAGCAGACAATACAATCTGCTTTTGCTGCATCCCGGCAACTCCCATCACTGCTGATGAATGCATGCTCCTGTGCAACGCTTTTGGTTTCCACAAGTTTTCTCCATCTTTCTCAGTCCAGAGTATTATTGCGTGATCACTGCCACCAGTAACAAAACAGATATTCTCCCATGGCATGAAAACTATGTTGATGATACCCTTTGTGTGAGGCTTCTCCTCTAAGTAACCTACACGCATTTCCTTCAATGCACAACTTAAGAAATCAGAGTATGTATTATTTAGCAATTAATACTACATTTTACAAAGGACAAATGTAGACTTAAGAGTGTCCTCTCAAGCCTGTCACGCTTGTGAAAAGGTGATGGGTATCAAAACGTGTCCCATCTTTATAATACTCCAATTGGAGGTATTAAATCTTCTACATTAAGAAATGAGTATACAATCAGATGCTAGCTATTTGCATCCAAAGTTTGTAATTGGCATGGATGATAAACATGGTACGAAGCATCTAATTCAGCAGTCCGCAAGAAGAAGAATTGTTTTAACAAGTTTAAAGGTTAGCGAGTGTTACTCTACCTTTCTATGTGTATGCAAATCTACATAGTGTGCACAGATTTAAATTGCTACAACTGAATGCAACACAGCTGAATAAACAGAACTAGTTTTGTCACCTCCACAGACATCTGTCAGTGGAATCGGCATGTGAATTTCTAGTAAACCATTTTTCAACCATGAATCTCAAAGAGATACATAGCTTGTTATTGGATGACAACTAATATTCAAACAACTGCACACATGACAGACATGGAGGAGTAACTAGTCCAGCAGCAGTCATGGCAAACATGGACACAATCACCCAGAGACTGTCTAAGAAATTTTATTCTTGTACATATGCATATTGAATATTGATGTAGGATAGCTTTGAATACACAAAATATGGCAACCTTATGAATGTTTTTTAAACATCATACAAAGTTTGTGGATGAAGGGCTTTAATTAATAGAATAGACAGTGCAACATTTGTAAAAGGCAGAACAAGCTTCATTTTCAGACTTATATGAATTTGGGAATGAAGGGTTAGACAACAGGAAAATTTTGGAGCTGAATTTTGGGTTGTTCTGGGACTGCGAATAATAGAATAAGAAGAAAGAAAGAAAACAAAAAGCAAGGGTTAAGCAAAATAGGAAACTTCGACCCTTTTGACTACTTAGACCATTCTAGCCATTAATAAAATCCATATAGTGACTCATTTGAAAACATAACCCAAAACAAGATCCATAGATCCATACTTCAACCCAAGCCTAGCAAATTCAGAAATTACCAAAATACTGCCAGCTCCTAAAAACATAAATAAAAAAAAGTCCAGCAACATACTTAGATGTAAATAAAGACGCTAAACACTTACCTATTCGATCGCCACTAATCTCAAAAACTTAAGTTGTTAGTAAATGGGCTAAAAATGTTTATCAAACTCTTTAACTCCCTCCCTTATGTGCAACCCTATCTTGCACATGGAGATGCAAACATCTATACATATAGAGAGGAAAGAAAGAATGCAAATGAAAGAAGAAATAATGCAAATGGAGAGATTTGAGCTCAAGACCTTCCCGACTTGAGCTTTGATACCATGTTAGATCACCACTAGTCCCAAAAGCGTAAACTATTAAGAAATGGGCCAAACAATATATCCATCTCTCTAACAATTTGAAATTCAGCATAACTAAGAAGTCCGTTATTTAAAAAATTAAAAATTTAGCCTATTTTTACTGTTACTTCAAATTAAAAAGCGTGGTTGTCAAATGCACTTATTTTTTTTCACTGAATACTTTCAGTTTTATGTGTTGAGTTGAGTTGTCAAACAGCTCCTTAGCACTAGTGGAAGCAAGAAGGAGATTATGCCATGTGATTAACAATGTAAGCTCTGCTATAGTTAATACATATATATTTTTTAACTTCTAATGAAATATCAAAGTAAAAATGAGTGTTAGAAAGATTTAAGATGTGAAATTTGTTACAAATTAGTAGTTATATATATGAAAAATATTATGCAAATTAGTGTTATATATTATGCAAATGTTTGATAATTGGTTAAGAATATTCTTCAATCCGCTCCAAACCGTGATTTGGTTATTTGCCAATCTGCTAATCCGCCAATTGGTTTATAATTTTACTCTCAAACCGCCCGAACCTTGCTGCGCACATATCCACAAGAAAGAGAGATAATCCACTTTAAATTGTAAATAGTACAACCATAAGACCAAAAATACCCAAAACCCATCACCAATACCCTAGCCCTGAACAATACCCATTTCCCCGCTCAAGAGTAACCGAGCCCAAAGCCAATCCCTCTTCCCTGCTCACACTCGGTGCCCCCAGTATTTTTTCCCGTCTCTCCTACATCTTTTCAAACCTCTCAATCTCACCACCCTAGAATTCCCATAGGTTCCCTATTTATAAGCAAATCATATAAATCCAAATCCCATACAATTAATTAAACCTTACACATATTGGACTCCTAATAGATTCCAAACTCGACAACCTAATCCAACTACATGTATGGGTCCTGCCAAAACTATATATCAAGCTCTTTAACATTATCATGGACACTTTCCCATGGACCAAAAAACATTTCTTGATAATCATGGGACCCATAGCTTTTGTTTGCCTGAGCTTCCAAATCATATCATAATTATTTCACCATGCAATAAATGTGGCACTAAATAAGCATGCATAACAGTGTATCTTAGATGTAACTCTGAGTGATAATTACAAATGTAAAGAATGCAATAGACAGTACTAAGAGTGTTCAAAAGCACATCCATACTGGCATATAAATGTGCGAGTGGCACAAGCATATGAACTTCTGGGAAACAAAATTTCGACCCTTACCCCCTTTTTTTATTTGGATTCAGGATTGATATCTGAGAGTCCCCGCCATCAGCACTGTATAAAGAGAATAGGCTGTTTCCCTCAGGGTGCCATGCTATATCTTCCAGCCATCTCCTGTGCTTTGGGGATACGCAGTCTGTATAACTTAGTAGATTGGCACTTGATCTGCAATTTCATGTCAATAAGCACAAAACATTAAATCTGCAATTTTGATCTTTTCTAGCATTTCTAAAAGGTGTGTCAACAGGAAGACATTTAGACTAATACGTTGCAATTTAAGGCCTCTATCAATCTCTCTCCCCAAGAAGCTGGAGGCGACATCCATTGGGAGCAAGATCAGAAAAAAAATGATTAAGCAGGGTTGACCACATTCAACAAAAATCTGTAACTACACTAGGAGTAGATATGATTCAAGCAACTACTGCGAAGAATATGCAAATGCCAAAAAGGGCTTTGCCTTTAAAATAATGAGAAACAAAATTCTCACGTTTGTTGGACATCTCCTTAAAAGGAGGTTATGGGACTGCATGCTGTATAGAATAACAAAATGCAAAGATATGGTCGACCTTTATATGAAGTGAGATGGACACACCGTTCTGGAGTTATTTATCACCTATTTCATTCCCATAACAACCCTGTGTGACAAGTTCAGTGAGGTAGTCGGTGCAGCATTCAATGCTCCACAGAACAATTCAGACATCTCTCCTGATTCAGAGAAGAGTTGTACAGCCACTTTTTGGTTTTGCAACCAACTGGCTTATATTACAACTTACAATCTCTTCCATCTGTTGTGGTGAACCAGTTTCAATATATATATGCCGCACTGCTAAGTTAGGGTTCATATTACTTTATAACTATTTTGTTTTCAGCTCATTTTCAAACTTTTAGGCGGATGGTGACTTCAGAAAGATGGCCCTGAAAGAAGAATATGTTAGACAATTTTCATTGTATTTAAATTAATTCTGTTTGGGTACTAAACGATAAATATAATATAAAAGAAAAATAGGAAATGAGAGAGAAAGTTTGATTACAAAAAGGGATATTTACTAATAAATCTTATCTCACAAACAGTTTTACCGATTGGTCTTAAGGTTATTTCTATTGTTCTGATTAGTCCTATTAGTGGGGAAATATCTTACCAGTTGATCATATTTCCTTTGTTTAGTAATATTGAGTGGTCAATTATACCATTCCGTGTGTATGTCACGTGACATACATCATTCTAAGGCAAAAAGCATAAAGAGCCTTAGTGTACTTTGTTATTGTGTGGCACTCATTGTGTGTGTCACGTGACATACATCATTCCAAGGCAAAAAGCGTAAAGAGCCTTAGTGTACTTTGTTGATGTGTGACACCCATTGTGTATGTCACGTGACATATTGTGTGTGTCACGTGACACACTCTCATAAAGAGCCTTGGTGTACTTTGTTGATGTGTGGCACCCATTGTGTGTGTCACGTGACATATTGTGTGTGTCACGTGACACACCCTCATAAAGAGCATGCATCTAATAACATCTAAATGAGGGCATTAAGGTCCCTCAAAATATTCAAGGACTAAACGATTTATTAGAAAAAAATGGGACCAGTTGGTTCATAAGTTTAACATTTGGGATTTATTAGTAAATCTCCCTTACAAAAATTAAACTAGAAATATAATTAAATAAATAAAAACAGATTTTATTTTGTTACAAAAACAAAATTAAAATCTGATTTAAATAAATAATAACAAAACAGAAAATAAATAAATAATTTATTTGATTAATATCTTTGAATAATAATCTAATCAAGTCCAGTGTTTGACACTGTGTCCTTAAGACAGATTCATCATTTCCACGGTACTTTCAGAATATGGACGTCTATCTCCTAGGATGAAATGATCAACAACAAATAAATGTAACACTACAATTTATTTGTTCAACGAACACACTAAGTGTTTATACTCTCTCTCAGAAGAAAATGATGCAGCAATATAAAGAGAATGTTTGCAGAATAATTAAGGACGGAATCAGTGAATCAATTCATCAAATGAGGGCTGTCTATTTATAGATGTAGTGGTGGCTATTGAATTTGAATTAAACATGTACCAAACCTGTTTGAACAGGTGTAACCCTATTTTAATAGATAACCGAACAGATTAGATTTAATTTGCACAGATTTAAATTTGTTTGAATTTAAATTCAAACAGGTATGGGTTTTCCCTTGAATTAAACGGACAGATTTTGTACAAAAGGTTCGGACAGATTTGAATTTAAAACGGTCTGATTTTATTTTACCAAAAAATAAATTAAATTCAAATGTTTTTGGCCCAAAAAGATTAATATTGGGCCGGACAAGCCCAACCCAAGCTCACACCACGCACCTGCGTCCAAGCCCAGCCCAGCCCGCCGGACCGGGCGGATGAACGGCGGCGGGGCGCGCGTGTGTAGTGATTTTTGGGTCCAATGGGTCTACCCCATTTTGCCCATAACCTCTCTCTCTATAAAACTTGAGTACCCCTTGGGGCACACCACAAGTTCCAATCCCATGCCTTATAAAACCATTCAAAATTTCCTACCAAATCAATATGGGACAAGCCATTTTCCAACCTTAAAGAATTTTCACAAAAACTCCGTTTCCATGGTGCTCACTTTGGCTTCAATTTCCTATTCACTCAATAATGGTTTTGAGTAACCAAATATACCACGTGAATCACAACGCGACATAGAACGCGTTACCACTTTGACCCACCAAATTTGACACTCGAGTCCTGCCCAAATAATAGACCAAAGTTAAGAAAAAATTCTGGCTTTACCTAGAATTTTCCAACAATTTCCAACAATCCCTCACATGAATGGAATTTGATGACAATGGAAATGCAACAATGTGCAGACTTTATTGAAAGAGTATAAGTCGAAAATATCTTGCATCAGGATAGGTAGGTTTTGGCCTTGAACCTTCCCTAGTGATAACCTATCGGACTTACTAGCTAACCAATGGACGCGATGCCTTGAATTGTTCAGCCGTTTGTGTCACGACCCAAACCCGCCCCTATGGGTTTAGCACCGTAATCGGCTAGTAATCCGTGATTACCGAAGGCCTGCTTAACAGTAATAACAGTAATACAGAGTACAGGGGCTGGCGGAAGCCAAAATAGTAATAAAAGATGTCCAATGAGCTGTGACAGTCTATATGCAAAAAGACTTTTCATACATATTCACATTCACAACCAAAACAGTATATACATACATATACATTCATCGAGGACAGGGACTTAATCCCTATTAGAACAGTACAGTACAATACAGGTACAGTCAGTCTATACAAAAATAGAGACGGAAAGGATGAATGTAAAACACCCCAAAAAGCCCTAGCTTGAAGGACTTGGAACCTCTCATTGAGGCACAGTGGTTGGCTTGACAAAAAGGGAGTTAAACCCAACGCTCCTAGCTCCGATCCGGTGTCTGGACACCTATATATATATATATAAACAGTGAGTTAAAGCCCAGTGAATAACAGTTGTGTAAAGAGGCTAAGAATGAATGTCCTTTCAGTATTTAACACAGTCAGTTATAACAGTATATCAGTCATTCAGTCATAGCAGTCATATGTGGTATATCCTATAGCAAAACAGTACAGTAGGTCTTAACACACCGAACAGTCAGTTGATGGCCATCATATCAGTAAACAGTAGTGGTTCCAAACATGGGAATTGACAGAGATCTCTGTGACAGTAGCAGTACAGTACAGTAACAGTAAATTGCTATGGATGCCACGAATATAGTTTGCAAATAGGATAAGCATTCATTCAGTAAGAAATATCATTTCAGAAAGCAGTACAGTTGATCATTCAGAAAATAGTCATGGTTGAATATATCTTTACAACACTGTTACTCACAGAGTTCTGGGCTACAGATAGGCTAATGAGCGTCCTCGGATGCCAACCCTACACAGGTACAGGATGAACACACACTAAGTTGCACGTTTGGGAAACAATAACTTAGTCCCTATCTTGACTCGGTGTGGTTCTACATCAATAACCTTATTAAGATGCCTTAAACTAGGCCTAGGAATGCCTAGGATGGAATGAGGACGCAAAGATGTACTTTAAAACACTTTTCAAAATTTTCAAAAAACAGGGGTCTCGCTCGAGCGTGGCTTTCTACGCTCGAGCAGACATGCAGACAAAGGAGCTCCGCTCGAGCGTGACTTTACTCGCTCGAGCGGATTGTAAAAGTACTGGATGCACGAAATTCACGCTCGACGGGCGCTCAACCCCCGCTCGAGTGTGAGATACAAGTCCTCGCTCGAGCGTGCATTCCCTTGCTCGAGCGGATTGTAAACACATGCAAAGTACTGGATACACGCATTTCACGCTCGAGCGTTACTTTACTTGCTTGAGCGGATTGCATGAACTCAGAGTGTACGCTCGAGCGTAGAGTTCCTCGCTCGAGCGTGGATCCAAAATCTGGAATTTCCAAATTTGTCTCCAAGCATGAAACTCAACATTTAAAGCATCAAATTCGATCTTTTTGGGCTAATTTTCTGGAAAACACTTCAAAACTCATAATATGACATGTTTCAAAGATCAATTTGCAAAATCAAAGCCCAAAGGTAGTTCAATTGAACCCATTTCCAAACAAAACTTCAAGGACATGGTGTACATGCAACATGCATGAATTTAATCAACTTCAAAGCTTCTAATACAAGAACAAATGAGCCAATCCTTTCAAAAACATGATGAATTCATGAACTATAATCAAGATATGGACATGCATGTAGCAATTTCCATGAAAACAACCTCAAAATGCTAGAACATGTACATGCATGCATGATTTAAGCTTCAATTCAACATTTTGAACCAATTCTACACTCTAAACACCAAACTTCCATGAAACATGCAAGATGCAACTTAAATACAAGTTCAAGAAGATGGTTCTCCTACCTTAGGTCCTCAATTTCAAGAATGGAAGCTCAATTTGCAATCTACTCTTCAATTCTTCTAATTTTCCTAGCCAAAACTTGTTGAAATCAATTCTCTCATAACTCTCCCTCTCTCTAGTCGGTTTTGGACTTGAGGAAAATAGCTGAAGAGTTGTGATAATGCTAGCATATAGAAATCAAATAAAAGGCTCATGAACTAGTCCACTAAGTGGCATTTCGGTAAATAACTCAAGTTGATGCATTTTAACTTCATTTAATATAATTTAATCATACCAAATCAAATTTCAATTAAACATATCATAACCTCACATAATTTCTAATTAGCATAAAACATTAATCGATTTCAGATTCGGTTGCCGATAAGGCCTTCAATTTACAGTTCAAACTTAAAACATGAACAGATCAATTAACAGTCAAACAGATAGACATGCGTTCAAACTAATACACTCAATCAATCAGTTCAGAATTTCAGTCAATCAGTCACTTAACATGCTTAATTGTAGATTAGCACTAATCAGTGGTGAGGGTTGTCACAGTTTGTGTAAGCCAAGTCAATAGATTTCACACAAAATATCTTCTAACACATCATGGTTCTCACTGTTGTGTTCATTTTGGCCTTGAACGCTCTTGGTTTTCATGAGTGTTTCTAGAGAGTTTAGCCTCTTCATTCTCATAGAACCGGCCCCAGTTCGACACTCATATAGGTGATTCTTATTATGAGTATCTCCTTACACTCGTCTTGATTTTTATGCCTAAATCAAGATATAAGTAATCACTA